TTGTTTGGATCATAAGCTCATACTTGCATTGCTGTGGATATGTTATTTTACTAGTCTAACTCCGGAGACCTCAGTAGAGATTAGTTTTGCTGACCCATGTCATAGCCAGTGAGGGGCTCAGTATACTGGTAGACAGTGACACTGGTTCCTAGTCATATCCATGCCACGGTACACATGTGTTCCAAAATCTGCTGTGAGTCTTTACTGCTTTTCACTCCTGGATGACTTTGACTTCAACCTTGCGTTATTCCTCTAGTATCATAATTACTCTGTCATGTATCATCTGTGATCTAAAATGTCAGAGGGTGCTTCAGAAGTGATTAAATATCAGCAGAAACAGAGAACGTAGGTGACAGCCTACCTGCGGGTGTTAGCTGTGAACACGAAAGGGCCATAAAACAGACCAAGAAACACTAATTGCCTGTTTTCTGACTTAAGTGGTGATCACTTAATTAAAGACAGCTATCAAAGATCAGAGCAGAACCCTGGTATCAACGTGCTTGTAGTGCTATTGAAATGAAAGATGTTACTCTTTCTTCCGCCAGCAGTTTCGAGCCTGAGCTGCTGAATGCTTTTGTGTTTCATTCCCAGGAGACAAGTGAGCAATGGATTTCCTTAGCCCAATGCATGCATATTTTGCTGTTGTTTATTTACAGGTTCCCCGGAGAATATGCTTATTAAAAAGAGTGCAGCCTAGGCAACTACTGCAAATTGCAGCGAACATCACTTATATACTGCAGCCTGAAATCAGAGCTGTGGCAGCAAGGAAAGGGCAGTAAAACAACAAAACCCAGCCCTTCCAAGGGCTTGAAATGGCTTTTTCCTATCAAAGTGCTTAACTGAGACCTTTTTAGAAATTAACTTGAGAATGAGAAAAAGGCAAAGTACAATGAAGTTGTGATGTTGCATGTGGACGGACAGCTGATGGCATTTCATTCTAGCACACCCACTCCCTGATCCCAGGAGCAGTTTAAACACTTTAAGAGATATGTTTTAAATATATAACAGATCTTTCTCCAGTGTCAGTTGACATTTCTCAACTATTTAACTTCTGTGCTGATTCCCATCATCTCAGGATTTGGTCCTCCATGTTATCTCTCTTGCTCTAACTAGCTCTTTAACTCCTTACTTTCCTCTCCCACAGGTTTTTGCAGCGAAAGTGCTCAACTTTGTTCTCCCAAACCTGTCACTGGGCTCAATAGATCCAAATGCAATTTCCCGAAACAAGAAGGAGGTGAGAACCTTAATGCCATTTAAAGTCATTGCACAGTTGATATCTTGTCCCAGTCCTGCCATTTCTCTTCAAAAACCCCAAGTGTTTTGGTAAATCATGAGGGCAAGATCTATGCTGGTGTAAAAATGTGAAACATCTCTGAAGTCAGAGGGGCTGACTGCACATAGCAGAAAGCTGCAGGAAATCACTTGTTCTTCCCTTCGGTGTGCCTTGCACCCACAGCCGCTCTGGGTGCAAGATGTCACAGACCTGTGCTCTGGTTTGTGGTGGAAAGCACATAGGAACCATGTTTATCTCTGCTGCACCACCACCACTCATTACAGTAGCAAAAAACAACTTATACTGGTTACAAACACGCTGCTAAAGTCAATTTTTCCAGCCCTGCTCTTTGCAGTGAAACCATGCAAAACCCTACAGTCCTGGGGATTCGATTTCCCGCTTACAAACCAGCATCACATTGTGCCGAATGCATTCAAACAGAGGCAAAGAGCGTGCTTGCCCCAAAGACTTAGCTACAAGGTCTCCTGGATCACATACTGGCTCTGCTACAGCCTTTCCAAACAAATGACGTATTCTTGCTGCACCCGAGAATAATACCTAAGTGAGCTGCAATGGAAGCAGCCTTTGTTAAAAACCCAGTTCCAGCTCCACCACCGTGACTGTGCGTGGAATGTTCCAGGGTGAAGTTTTTGTAGTGTCACCATAGCTTGGGACTCTCCTCCCATTCATACCACTCCTAGTAATAACTGTTGCAGCTTATTGATGCCATCACTGGCAAAACCAGGTGTCGTTGCACCTGCTGCAACAACACATAACATGGTTTTTTCTTTCTCACTGTTGTGGAAGGAGGCAAAGGAGGGAGACACGAACTGTAAGTGAATGAAGGTGCTTTGGCTGGACCCAGAACTCAATGCATTTCAGAAACCGACTTGAATGATAGAAGATGGCACTTAAAAGCAGGACAGCTTTGCTGGTATAGTGGTCTGTTGTTCCTGTGCTCCCACATCAGCTCGCATCTCGCTGACAGATGCTGTGATTTCTCCTGCTGTTCATGCAATGGTTCATACTTAAGTAGAAGTTAATAAATTGCCTTCCTCTGGGGAGGCAGCTCCACTGGCATTAGAATTGAAGCTGAAAGGATCAGGAGCAAAGACAATGTCAGTGGCTGTGTGAGTGCAATGCGTTCAGCCTCAGTATATCCCACCTCTTTGACTCACCCATCCAGTTAACTGGAAAGCAAAGAATCTCCCAGAATAGCCTCAAGACTTTCAGGGTTGTTTCTTCGCTCTGCCAAAGAATTTTTTGGTCAAACGACTCAGTTCACTTATCTGTGAACAGAACATAACATTTCACTGGGTTGAAGGCAGAAAGATCCAAGGAGCTGAGAAAAGGAAGCCAGAATAGGTCCTAGGAAACTGTCATGCACTGTATGACATATGTTCTTAAGTACCATATGAGGCTGCACAAAATGTGTACTTGGGAGGAAGGCTGATTCCAGTCAAGCTGTAGAAACCCGTTCTTAATTACATTCAGCTGCCATAACTTGTTACATATAATTCAGAGGAAAGGTTTAAATTAGACAACCAATTCACTAAAATCACACAGAGGAAAGTTTCACTTTTGCATTTGTATTTAGACCATAAAAGTAATTGGCTCAGGAGGAACTTAGAAATTTGAGAGCATTACCTCCTACCTGAAGGGTGAGTGTGGCTGGAGCATGTAAGTCTTTGGCCGCTTCTACACTGATTTGTTACGTGCCACTTGAACTCTGTGCCGCAGCTGGTCCTTAAGGGTGGCAGTTTTAAATACATCTCTGACCATTGGATCTTCTGCTGGAAGATGCTAGTGCATCTAGCTTTACAGGAGAAAAGTGATGGTGCGGGGACATCCTGAATGGTAATGCATTTAGAAAAGTGTCAGTGAGCTCCTTTAATGAGGTGCACAATATTGACTGAGAATTTCCATGTTGGGGTGATATTAGGAATCACCACAGCAACCACTGGACATAGTTTATAATAAATTCTGTTGTGTTGTCTTTCTACCCAAATATTTGCTGCTGCTCCCTCTGCTCTATGATGCTCCAAGTCTCAAGAGCTTCCTCTGAGCATTGTTTTTCCTCTGCCCTTTCTCTTTCCATGTGGCAAGGGAAAGCCTTTTGCAGTGGATAGAAATGTAGGTCTGCTCCCTTACAGTCTGCTTATAATGGAGTAGTCTTCAAAATGAGACAACAAACCCTTCCTCACTGTGCTGCCTGCTCACCTGCAAGTGAACACACAGCTGACATAGCAGCTGTGGATTGTGATGTGCTTTCCTGACCATCTTCAAACACCAGGATTTGAGGCTTCAGGCACTTACTGAAGACAGCACAGCATCTCCACCCTCTGCCTGCCTCTGACACACACTCCGGCCCTCCTTTTGGATTTAAGATGAGCAGCTTCAAAGCACACAATGTGCTGGAAACATCCATTATTTATATGTTAAACATGTTCTCCTGACATACCAACTTTCTATACTCTAGAAATATTTTTGGGACATCATCCAAGAATTTCCTGATGAGTTTGTGTTCCCAGCAGGCTATCCTCAGGGTGTAGGGACTGAAACACAGGACAGTATGGAGATGTTTGATCTGCTTGCTATATCAAATGCAAGAGACACAAAAGAGAGCAAGAAGCAACCTTAAAACCTAGTCATGTTATTCCAAGGAGAAATAACATCACAGGGGTGTGCACTCCTTTACCCCATTAATCTTTGTTAGCTGCCATTGATTTCAGTGGAATAGTCCCCCTGACTTTAGTCTGGTTCCTGAAGAGTCCACATAGGATGAGGCTGCAATTACCTTATAATGAATTTATTGCTCTGCAAAACGCTAAGGGAAGACACAGACCTCTAAGGAGGGGAACATGATGCAGCAGGAGCCCTGATGGTTACTTGCCTTAGAATTGCATAGAGAGAAAAAAGAGCTGTTGTGATGGAGTCTGCAGAGCCTTCGCTGGACGGCGGCTGGAAGCAGTTGCAGGCTGTCCCAGGGTCACCCTCACTCGCTTGCCACTGCTGTCTCAGAGCTCAGTGTGCCAACAGAAGCTCTGGGCTTGCAGGATTTGCTGTTCA